CACTCTTCAACATTTAACACAAGTAATTTCTTACCGACAAAAAGAAATCATGAATGAAATCTATCATTATATTTATCCAATTGAAAATGATAATCAAAATGAATATTATATAGCGAATATTAAATTATTACAAGCAGATGCTAAAATCTATCAATCAACATTGTGTTTGTAGTTTTGTTTTTTATTATATTTATACATTATATATATATTTTTATATATCTATATATTAGATCGAGAGCATGATCATGAAATAGGAGCAGCTGTTGGATATTGTTCACATTTAATTCTTATTATTTCACAACTTATTCAATTACCATTGAGATTTCCTATTGATTATCATGGAACACCAGCGATTAAAATATATGATTATAGTTTAGAAGTCAATGAGTAAGAAGAAAATATTTAAACTTTATTTTCTTTCAGACCATCTTTTGACATTTGAAACAAAACGAATATTGATTCATTCTATTCGATATGATATAATTAATAGCTCAAGATAAAAATATATGTCAAAAAGTATTGAAGCATAAGTACAAGTAGAGAATACTTTGTGAAGTGATACCGGATTCTTTAGAAACTATAACGATAACATTTTATGAAGATAAAACTATATATGATAGTAAACTATAGAGATGGTCTGACTCTTCTCTGAACTTACAGAGGTATAATAGAAATAATAATAAGAATATGAATGCATCGTATGTTCTGTTTGATCCTATCCTTTCAACGAATAGAACTTGTTCCTATTGCTAAGTCAGTCTACCGGCACTGAGTTCATAAAGTTCTGATAACCTGAGTTTTCCAAAGTTTATATTTTTTCGGCAAGACATTTTTTATTCATATTCACATACCTCTCTGGTTCATTGTGAAACAAAATTTTTTAACGACTTTGTTTAAGACCGTCATTTTCTTCTAAAAAATTCAATTTTTCTAAAAAACAGACACTTTTTGAGATAAACATATAGATATGACTCCTCATTTGTCTAGTTTTAAAATTCAGAAAAAATAATTGTAGTTATTACCATTTATCATGGCTACAACGTGTATCCGAAACGCCACTCGATAAGACCGTCGGTGAATTTTTAACTAGTGCATTATATAATCCAATTTAATACTGATATCAGAAATTTTTTCAGGTGAATATAGAAAAAAAATGCTGAGACGTTTTACTCAAAACTGGTTTTTGCATAACTTGTCAAATTCTAGGAAAATTTTGTTTTGATACAATTCATTCTAGTTAATTATGTTTTTTTTATTCGATAGATAGATCCAGCCTCTTTCAGATAAGGGATAAAAGTGATTTTGTATTTGATCCTCATTATGGAAGCAACCATGTGTTTTCTAGAACACATGCTGAAGATTCTTGCAGTTTCAAGGTTTTGAGGGCTCTAAAAATGAAATAAAATTAAAATAAAAAATTCATTTTCATTCATCGGAAGCGGCAAGAAGTTCTTTGCACCTTGATCTTTGGAAATCCCCGGATCGATGTGGTTCGAAAAGGTGAAAATTTTTTATAAGTGCACTTTCATAGACCGAACATTTCCAGAATTTTTCATGGAAATCTCATACATTCTATTGAAAGCCGATTTTAGCAGGAGGGGGTAACTAAAAAAAGATTGTCAGGTTTTAATAACACCTGTATTATATCTAAAAAGTAGGATTTATTTATATTGAGATGTTTTTTCTTCAAAAATATTAATCGAAAATAATCATTAAAACTTGTTCTTCCATAGATTTCCTCTTTATCCAACAACTAATTTAAGTTCTTTTCGATATGGCTTCTATTTACTCAATCGCAATATTGGTCAAGTAAGTATATTATTTTATTCAAAAAATATTCTATAAATAATAAATAATTCTATTCTTTAAGATTATGTATCATTGTCGAATAGGTGATTGTAATACAGATTTTCGTAATACATTAGAAAATTTAAAAGAATTAATTGAACAATATTTTATTAATTCAACTAAAAAAAATAATCAGTAAGTAATTATATCTTAATCGAAATCATATTTGATTTCATTTATTAATTCATACAGTTATCAAAATGGTTTAAGTTTATGTGTAAGTTAATATAAACCTTGCACAATAATATTTCTCACTCATGTATTTTTCTCTCTAACACAATAACCTTTTTAGTGGAGGAAAGAAAGAAAAAGAAACTTATTATGGATTTTTCATTTTAGGATTCCATTTTATCCGTCACTTCAAACGATGAAATCAATTAATAATAATAATAATGGTGATGAAGATTTTACTTATAATAAACGAAATTCTAATGTTTCATCTTTATCATCTTTTTCGTCAACATTATCTCTTATTGAGAATAACGATTATGATCAAATTGAAGATATGGAATTATTTCCACAATCAAAAACAAATAAACCTCGATTAGCCATGCAGATTTCATTTCAACAATAACATTAATTTTTTTTTGTTTTTTGTGTTATTTTATTTTTAAATGTGATACTTAATTCGTATATGAACGAACATTGTTATGATGTTTTGCCTTTATCTTTATTTATTTTTTCATGATATTTAGTATTTTAATTAAAATTTTAATGAACAGATAAATGTAATTCTATATATTTAAGATTTTTGAGAAAAAAACAGAAAAAGAAAAAGATGAGTTTGGATACACAAAAACTTGATAGTAATCAACGACAACAAATTATGGCTTCAGTGCAACAACAATTAGCTCTTCAAAATGCTCAAGCACTGCTTCAAGTAAAATTATTATAGGAAAAGAACAAAAACCTAATCTAATTTTGAATCGTTTGTTTTTTATTTAAGAAATTATCTGATAAATGTTTCAAGGCTTGTGTTCAAAAACCTGGTAGTTCTTTATCGAGTTCAGAACAGGTTTGAATTGATTAGTTTTCTTTTTGTCGTGTCATTATCGTCTTGTTTTAGAAATGTATTACTCAATGCTCGGATCGTTATATGGATGCATGGAATATCGTTTCAAGAACTTATGCTGATAGAATAAAACGTGAACAACAGCGACATTGAACTTTTGAAGTTGTGTTGTTGTTAGGAGGTTCTCATTATTATTCTGGCTTTCCTTTTGTTGTATTCGAGTCTTCATTCTTTGTTTGTTTTTTGAATAAAAGATTAGTAGATCTTTGCGTTCATTAGATTTTATATAGTTTTTTCGTATGTTATAGATCATTGTGGCAACTTTTCACCGGACTATTTATTATTGATGTCAGCGATTAGATATGTAAAAACAAGAAATAATTGAAGTGGAATGTGATAATGATCTAATTCAATCATTAGTAGCAAATATGTTAATACATTAAAAACAAAGACAAACACAACTTTAGATTGATGCTGTTGAGATCAAAACTTTCAGTATACATGTATAGTATTGACCCGTTTAAGTACTGAAATATGTGATGTCGTGAATCTCAATAATTCAATAGTGAAAATTTCTCAAAATAGATTTAAAATTTTTGTATCTATTTGATGATTTGATGATTCAGGTTGCATGTGATGTTTTGAAAAACGAAGCAGAATCACCGAACTCTACACGGGATGACATAATTGATTTAGAAAAAATATATCTATCATAATTAGAAGTAGTGGTAGATGATCTCAAGTAGAGTTGAATGAGAATTTCTCATTGATAGTTAGATCTTTTAGTAAAGCACATTTGTATTTGATTGCTCACTTGAAAATTTGAACTAAAACAGCGAATAGGTGTTCAAATTTGATAAGAAGGATTTGATAAGAAAATAGCAAAGATTTAGGTTTTGAAGTCTGTTATCTCTCTTTCGATAGAGTATTCTTTTGAGTTCAGGAAATAATATGTCCTATAAGGCGAAAGTCGTAATATAAAATATTCATTCATTTTTGGCCACTTAAAGAGAGTTAAATCAGCGCCAGACGTAATTTGAACAAGATTTTTTCATTTTCTTCAAATATGTATTCAGAATTTCCTTCTAAAATACGATCGGACAACTTTCATCAGATTGTTTCAAAATAGTGCTTGCACAGAATACTATTTTGTTCAATTTTGTATTTCAATTGAAATCAGTCAAATTCAAAATGTGAAACAAATTTTAATGATTCAGTACTTTAATAGAAAACATTGTTATTTACTTTTCTTACAGATTTTAAAACAGTGATGTTTTTGACCAACGCCAATTTCTATACAAACTATCTCTGTAGATAGAGGAGATTCCACTTATTGTAGTATTACATTTTGTATAAAGTTCCATACCCTGCAAAAATAAGACACAGTTTTAGACTTTTCACAGAATTTACTGATAGTTGTTCATTTTTGCCCGAGAAGGAAAATCTGAAAATGTATTTGAAAATAACGAAAAAATCCTGATTCTGTCTCTAACCTTTTGCCCTTTACTGGCTGAAAAATGAGCGAATATTTTGTGTCAAGACTTTTGCGTTATAGATTATCTAATATTGAATTTCAGATTTATAAAATCATGCCCACAGCACAAAAGAAAAAAACCAAATATGTTAATGCGTTTAGTAATGCAGGCAAAGAACGAATGGCCGTTCGATTGCCAGGTATTAATATTATTATAACCTAAATCTATTATTAAATTTACCTTTAGGTCGTAATACATGTGAATGTCAAGCATCAAAACATAAACTTATTAGTAATTGTCTTAAATGTGGACGAATCGTATGTGAACAAGAAGGATCTGGTCCATGTTTTTTCTGTGGTAACTTAGTAAGTCTTGATAAAAAACAAAAACTTCTTAAAAAAATTAAATATCTATTCTATTTAGGTGTGTACTCGTGATGAAAGACAATTGATTATATCAGGTACACAAGAAGGAAAACAACTTGAACAACAATTATTATCAAGACAATTTCGTGAACATGAATCACAAAATATATCAAATAGAACTGATGAATCATCACAATTTTCATTAAATGATATTGCGAACGCTATAGCATTTAAAGATAGACTTATTGAATTCGATAGAACTAGGTTTTTATATAAATTTTAAAATAGAAAAACAATTTTTCTTTTGAACGAAAAATTTTATTTTAGTGCACAAAGAACACAAGTTATTGATGATGCTTCTGATTACTTTAATAGTAATGATAAATGGCTGAGTAAACAACAACGAATTAAACTTGACAAACTTAAATCACAAATGAATGAAAAGAAAAATACGAAAAACCAAAAGATTACTATTGATTTTGCTGGAAGACGAGTTTATAACGAAGCTGAACAAACCAATGATCGATTGTAAGTTTTGTCTTAATGTAAACCCCAGCATTCGAGTTTGGTCTTGATAGTGATCATTTTCAGTCAATAAATAAAAGAAAATAGAACTAACCCAAATAAAATGATTTTAGGCTTGACTATGGTTGATCTATGCGTAGTGGAATAAATAGGCCAAAAACCAAAGGTCTGCAGGCGTACCAAAAAAAGTCAACAAGGTTCAGAAATACTCGAACTCGAACCTGAGAATGCTTCCATAGTTGCCCATATACCTACAGAAATGCTTGAACAAATACTCGACACTATCAGAATTGGTTCGATAGTTTTCAAGTCAGAGTTCAGGTGCAGTGCATGCCCAATACTATTCATAATAGAAACGAGATTGATCCCGATAAAGCTTATCCTATTCATATGTAATATACAGTAGAAATTAGACAAATTGTAATTAATCATAAGGACTATGGTAACAAACCAAAGTATGTGCAGCGTAGAGCAACTCGCGGAAAATATAAAATAAGATGTTAAATTTCATTCTTTTGTGAATCTCTCCTCACAATAGAACTTCTCGAGTCTTCTATTATGTGCAAGCATATCAATCTTTCAGTGAATGTCTTCTAATGTATCTCATTTATTTTCATAATTTTTAGTTAAAAGCGTTGTCCAATAAACCAAAACCATTTCGAGAATTTGGAAAGAGATTTATAAGATTTTAAGAGCCCAGAAAACCAGACATATTTTGACGTGGATATACGAATTAAAGTTTCAATCTTGCAAGAAAATAATTAATTAAGGAGAGTCTTCTATTGCGAGAAGGGGTTAAGTTACTGTTGGCATAAAACATGTCAGAGATTGTGATATGATTGATAGATCGTTTGTATTTTTGACAATTAAAGCAAATTTACTTCGAGTAGACATTGAGTTAGAAATTATTACATAATTGATAGTCCTATTCAATTAATAAAACTTCACATTTTATATCATTTCAATTGTCAAATATAAATTAGTATACACAAATAAATTCCGTTAGAAGAACTGTCAACAATGTATAGTTTCTGTGAACTTTACAATCTTAATGAAATCAATGCACTCGAAATGATTAAAACTTTTCGATAAAAAATTTTATTAAAATTTTTTCTTCGTCATAAGACATAAAACTTGAATAAGAACAAATTACTAATACTAATTATAAATAAATTTAGTTATAATGAAGCACGAGCTGTTCATGATAATGATCAATATGAATTAGAAAGTGATCGTGTTCAACAAGAACCAATTCCTAATTGGGATGATGATGATGGTGATCTATTCAATCCTAACTTACCTGGAGATATATCAGCTCCTCAAGTTCGTTTTATATTTATAAATAAATTTTAAAAAAATATTTATTTTTCGAAATAAAATTTTAGTGGGTGGAACAGACAACTAATGTTCAATCATCGTTAACAAATTTGTCACAAATGACTATTGAAGATAACGATCGAGAACGTTTACGTATTCAAGATAAAGAATTAATGCAAATGACAGATGATGGAATGTGTCTTACGATGCATCAACCATGGGCTTCACTATTAATTCGTGGAATTAAAATGTAAACCTATTTAAGAAAACTTTTAACCTTGATAGCAGTTCGTGAAGAGACCCTAATAAAATACTCTTATAAATCGAGTATTAGTCTATTTGATATGTCAAGGATATAGTCAGATTCATCAGGTATCAAATTCTTGATACAGGGTGATTTTGGTGACTTCCGTAATCATGTAGTGAAAAAATGGACTTGAGCGATATGAGAAACCATGATTTTTCTTTCTTTCATGACAATATTACATTGGAAAAAGTAGTCTATATATATCATGATATTAGTATCGTAGAAAAACGAAGTAGCGAATACATAAAAACTAATTTTGAAGCAATTGTGTATTTTAGACACATATTCTGAAATAATCATTTATTTATTTATTTATTTGTTGAGCCATTGTATAAGCGATTGAAGATATTTTACCCATATTAAATATTATGTCGATTTTTCACGTGATGAAGTTTACGATGGCTATCTTACTTTTATTCTTGATAGTTCTCTGTCTGACTAATACGAACAATACGGATCATTTTTCGTTCTATTATCTACAATTCGTCAAATTATCCTAGAATTTTCGAAAATTATAGTAATCACTAGTAGGCGTTTTCATCAACCCAATATCATGCAACAAACTCCAAAGATCTTTGTTTCATAACGATAAGAAATACTACATAACATTTAATGTCAGCATAAGAATTCAAGAAACATGGATGTAAGTTCAATAATTCGACAATAACTACAGCTAGTGATTTGAGGTTTTCAGTAATCGAAAGAGAAGAGCTGGAGAAAACTTTTTATCTGATACAATGTATGAGAAAATTATATTAAATCTTATTATCTTTGAAAAATATTCAAAAACATTTATAAGAATGCTGTTTCGTTTCGATGTAACTTTGATATTGACATGTGCTTTAGACAGAAGAACTTCAGATTTATATTTCAAGGCACATCTCAGTGTTGATCGACTCAAATTACATATTTATTCAATCAAATTATTTAGAATTCTGTTGATTTTTAGGAATTTTTCTGATTTTTATCAATAGTTCTTTAAAAAGACACATCGCTTTCATTCAATTTTTCGAAAATTACATTCAGAGTTCTTCTCTTTCGACTGCTGAAAACCTCAGATTGCCAGTTGTTGTCATTGCAGGGTTATTGAGATTGCATTCACCCTTCTTTAAATTCCGACGTGGACATAAGCTTTTGTAATCGATTTCAAAATAATCACTCTCA